CAGTGTATTAGACCTTCACAATAGAAATAGTTAAGTCATGTCATATGAAGATGAGTCCATTTTTTGTATAGAAATAAATTTGTATGATTCCGATCCCAGTCTTTGCAAAACATTATACGATTGACATCGCAAAGTCATCCTTAGAAAAACTGCAAAAGAACTGATTTATTAAAGAAACGATGCAGATGTAACATTTAAATACTAGCGCATCTAGGCTCCCTACTCGAGAAGCTTTTTCACTTCTATTCACGTTATATTCATTCCCCACACAAGACCATTAATATACTTTTCAGTAATCGCGTAGATATTGAAAACCTTCAAAGTTGAATCATAGATACTAGAAAGACACCTTCTCTAGGGTCAAACAACCATGAAATATGTAGACAAAACTGAAGGAAGTAAAGTAAATATAAAATAAGCATACCAGAACCAGATTTTCCAAGACGAATTCGACAAACTCTCGTGTTGGCGATAGAGCCTTGGTGATTGGTCACAGCCACTAACCCAGCCTTGACAGCGGCATCACGAAGACGAAGCAATACTGAGTGCAGAGGCTCGGCTAACTGATTTATCAGTTCTTCGACATTTACTGGCGTCACGTTGTAGTGGAAGCGTAATTTGTAGGCTAGAAATTTATCACGAAGTTCGTCTGAAAGTGAAGAGGCAAGACAATATAAAATCTTGTTAAACAGATATTTTTTATTCGAGATCTTACATGAAAATATGGACAACTTGATGGAAAATTAAAGCCATTTCAAAAAAATGTTAACTAAAACATGTGACAAACTGTAATGATTATATTAAAATAAAGAGAATCCAACTGGTAATCTAAATTGATAAGACTGAAACGAAAATAACATAAACAACTCACAAATCCAGGAAGCAGTTTACAATTTAACATATCTGGAGATATAAGAAAACTTTCCCACCAAGGCAATTAAAACTTTGGAAGTAAATAGACGTGAAACTTTGAAAACAGTGCAATGTAGAGAGGAGAAAAGATTCCTACTTTACATAGAGAAACTATCTTTCAAAATACCCTACTAAAGACATCGATATTAATTGTATGTATTTATGGATTACATTTGAACTCAGGTACTGAAAAAGATTTCAGTGGAGCAGATTTAATGAATAAAATAATTTAATAGTGAATTTACGATTCACTTATAGTGCATGCAGATAAATAAGTTTTACGTTGTAGGTGAGGTATTTTCCTTTTTAATCTAAGATAAGCAATACAGATTGACAGTAACGTGAATGAGTCCAAATGGCTTTCTGTGTTAATTCTTCCAAACAAAGGACTTGAATGCAAAAATAAATATATAGTTCATTTAGGCGGGAAGATGAATTACTTATATTAGTTCTAGAAACAATTTCTAATTTCTAATTGATGTAGTAGCCAGATGATGTATCAACTAATGCCGGTTTATTGAGGTGTATTTAAAAATATACAGGATACGCACATACTAATAATTTGAGGAGTACGTGTCTGGGTCGTGGGCATTTACTATCAAGACAAACAAAGTTCTATGCAGTAACCTTATTCAAAATCCTTTTAAAAATCATGCCCAAAAATATAAGGTGGTCTCCAAATTTAGCAATAACTCATCAACCATTTTCAATCACAAATTAGTTCAGTAAAAGTAAGTTAAATATCCTAACTCGAATTCGAATACTTCAATATAAAAGTGCTGAGATATATGGCAATTAAGCAAGTATTCCTTTTTTAGTATGCAGAAAAACTGGGTTTAGAGAAATCCTTTAATAGATTGCTTTTGGAGTACTCTTCATTTCGTTTTAAGAGGCGAGTGGAAGGGATTCGTAAGTTGGTCTCACCAAAATCTTGGAGCTGTGATTGTAGATTTGTGCGAATAGGTCCTCGGCGCACCGCCCTGCGACCCCAATGAATCATTGCCGTGACGGACATCGCCAGAGAAGGACACCATGCTTAAAGCTAATTCATCAAAACACGAAGGCAACAAAGGTGGCCGGCTTCAAACATACTTCTTTATTATATTCCAATTTGGCCCACTAATGCATCTCACATCTTGGTTAGATGCCCTATGCTTTGCCTCTATATTTGCTCATAAGTTAGGGTAAGTGGCCAAGGATGACACGTGAAGTGGCTACAGATGAAGCGTGAAATGGATGTAAGTGAAACTGAACAGCTGCATCCTCGCCTAAAACACATATGCCTTTGATCCTGCAATGTTACCGCAGGTAATTGCGTTCCATTGCACACGTGCTGTGTGAATGCATTGTTCTTGCAATGAGTGTAAAATGATAGTCAAAATCATATTCGAGCCTAAGCAAGCCTCCTCTTCTTGCTCGGTGGTATTCCTCGTTCGCCCCCTCTTTAAACCTATACAACAGATACAACTAGTTTCCACTTAACTTCCTACACTCATTCCTTCTATTCAAAGTGATGGCTGTTTGGTTGTTTTCCATCGCTTCTCTAATCTTTCGCTTACTGATACAGCCTCCATTCCCAGCTAAGCGTTTATCA